CAGATCATAAGCTTTCTAGTGTGGGTAGGAAAGTGGTAGGGAGCAGTAGTTAAAGTTCAGGCTAGCTCTGCAGCTAAAGCCTGCCCTAGGAGTAAATGATTCTCATCTGCATCTATATCCAATCAGGCCTTGGCTTTTTCACTGACAGTGCCTTCAGGATGCCAGAAGGCAGTGGTGGTTTTGTGATGCAAATCAGTCCTGCCAAGTCTTACTTACTAAGAAGGTGACTCATTCATTCGGGATCAATTTTTAAGTCAGCTAGTAACATCTCTCTCATTTGGCATGAAAGATTTTGCCAAGTGTTTCAGTGAGACAGTTACTCGTTCACTCTGAGAGAGTTGTATGTGAGTGCCAAGAACTGGACAGAGAGGCTGAAAAGCAATAAATTCACTCTCCTGGGGTGAGCAGAAATTTTGCCTGCAAAAATGAGTTGAAGAGTCGCTAGGTTTTTCTCTGGAGGAAGGCAAGAGCAAAGAGGACAAGAGTGGTCCAAATGACCTTACTGTTTTTACCAGGACATATGGCAAGTGACTCCTTAGTGGCCTCTTCTTCGGGAGTGGAGGGAAAGCAGTACAATAGAGTCTTTTGCTAAAGTCTGAAAGTAAAGAAGTAGAGTCTCCAGTGCATCTGTTTGAGAGGAAGGGGGTAGGAATAGACTTGTTGAAACATGTGACATGTCCTGGAGAACAGGGATGGAGCCAGCAGCAGGGTGGCCACACAGAGAGGAGCTGCAGTGAAGCTGAAGGCACGTTACCCTGCAGAAGCTTTGTGTATACAGGAAATTCTCAGGCTTTGCTGCAGAACTGGTTTTGGGGAGGAGGATGTATTAAACTGAGGCAGAGGAAATGCTGGGCATAGTTAGTTGAAGGCAGAGCTCCTGAAGCACTGTTCTCCAAACCCCTGGTGGGAATTTTGACACTAACAATAGTTAAAGAGGAGAACATGATGCAACACTTCCCACTTACGACTGCTCAAAACTTCTGAGTAGAGTAGATACAGATTGAGCAGCAATATCTCAGTTGTGATAACTACAGAAGTCTGAAGTAAGCATATATGACCATTCTTCACACATTCCCTAGGTATCATAGCTCTGGACAATCTACGTCAAACAATCAGAAATTGTGTCCAACTAATATATGGGTTTAAAAATCATAAGATGTAAATACTAATATTGTATTTGGAGTTTTATTTTTTCCTTTGCTTAAGACTACTGTATGCAGTAATTCATCCTTCTCTGTTGGTGATGCCTGAGTCAAGAAAAGCCTTATATGGGTGCTAGAAGGAAGGTTGTCTACTAAGGTCCAGAAATGCTGTTAAGTTGCAGGTTTAAGTCATAAGCAACCATCACTGTATTCCTGAGAGGGAAAAAAAAAAAAAATCAAACACACCAGAACATAGGCCCTAAACTTGTCAATATATTGAAGTTACCAAAATATGCTTTCATTAAAATAACAGCTATATGTTTTTAACAAGTGATGAATACATACAGAAAACACATTTTATAAACTGTCCATAGGCTGAATTTGTCCATATGAAGTCTTTGGTAACCCTATGCTGATAGCAAATACAGAAGAAATAGAAAAAAGATTGAAATCTATAGTGTGCCCAACTGATGTCTATAACATCCTAAAATTCACATTCATATCCTCAATTTTTGAGGTGCTCCCTTCATCCTTCAAAATTAATTTCAGGGATGTTTCAAATGCGTTCTTAATTTACCATGTGTGCTTCATTTATGTTGTGTCACTGCAATGGCATGTATGTGGCATAGAGATTTTAGCCTAGAAAATAAAAATACACTGGGGAGTGAGCAACCATGAAAGAAAGGAAAAAACACTGAAAAAATAGCGAGTGGAGATGCTTGGTGCAAAGAAAGCAGCCTGGATTTGAGAGAGAATTCAACGATGCCAGCCTGCCTTTGAAAGCTTGCTGAAATGTGTTAGACAGTTGGAAACAGAGTTGTAAAGGGGAAATTTAATCTCCGTAGAAGACAGTGAAATTTAACTGATGCTGGATAAAGGGGAACCTCCTGTGATGTTGTATGGCTAATTTTCACAGAGAATGTTTAATTCTTTCAGATATTGCAGATCTGCATTTACTGCTTTAGTAAATAGAAGTTGCTGCCTCTGAAAATCCATTTAGTAAATGTTATTTTGGAGGGTGTTGGCATCTTACACAGTACTGAGGCTTCTTTATTCACTTTTTACCTGACCCGCTAAACAACTGCAAGCTTTCCTTCATTCAGTAAGCTTTAGCTGAATAAAAACCCCTACCAATTCTTAATAAAATAATCAGATAAGAAAAGGCATAGTATTAAGATAAATGGTTAATATGTGGAAAATTATTCAAGACAGAAATACTCTGCCTGCAGTTCTATTAATTTTATCAATGCATATATAGTGCACAATTATGGTATATAAGAATTGCATACACCCATGTGCACTAGACTGCATGGTATCTACCAAATCTGTACACTGTAAATAATTTACATTTATTGCCAAGCAGAATCAGAATTTTCCAATCTCAGAGGAAAATAAAGTCTTGTCAGCCCATCATGTTGTCATTATTACTGAATGCCTAGTAACCATTTCCACAAATGTAAAAGTCTAGACATCTTCATGGATGAGATAAGTTGATTGATTCCTGGAGCCAATTTGCTCAAGATACAACTGTCTTTCTCATACTTGATGTAGCATTTGCTCTGGGTAAGAAGAACAAAGAGAATGCTAGTACTTGTTTGTGCTTTGGGCTAATCTGGAAAGGGTAGAATATTTTATTTTATATTTTATATACCCCCTGCTACTAGTCTTGCTAGCAGGGAGAAAAGAGGCAGTTTTCTACCATGATACTCACAGTGCTTAATTAATACTCACCAGAGCTAAGCCCTGTAGAAAACCACAGATACAATTTTTTGTTCTTGAAAAGGAGAAGCTGACAACTACTAAGACCCAAAGTGCCATGAGTAACACAGGAAGTATGTGGTTATTTCTGACAAAGATGGTGTGTTAAAGTTTTGTCTTGTGGGCTTGAGTTGGTCATTCCAGTCTTTTACTCAGGAGGGACAAACACATTGTAAAATATTGCAAGCTAATGTTGGATATCTGGTCTTCAAATAGGATTAAAAGGCATCATTCGGAACATCTGAGTGAAAGCTGTTTCAACATACAAAATGCACAGAACCGAATTGCTGCAGACTATATTCAACTGCAAATAGTAAATATATATATGTAATTCACATCTCCATAGTAAGAGTTTGCACACTGCACAGAGCTTGCACGTATACTTTGTAGGCAGATACTGTTGAAGCAATTCAGGATGGCGATTGGTCCAACTTGTGTCACTTCCCTAATTTGAAAATCCCGTTGATAATTGCACAGGAAAGCTGGTTTGACATAAAAAGATATGCATTGAACTTGAATATATAGTTTGTCTGTGATACTGTCTCTGTAATGCAGATTTCCTCTCTTAAGACACATTCACTTCAAAGTGTTATGCAAACTACTGCACTACAGCAGCAGCCATAGAAATAAACTACAGCATGTCCCAGCTATTACACACACCTGTCGAGCGCAGGGATCGAAAAACCAATCAGCCAGAGAGTGCTGGGATTGCACTGGTATGATATTTTCTGCAAATTTAAAAATAAAGACCTAGGATAGGATTAGGGTAATGTCCAAAGGAAGTCTTTTGTGGATACCAAGCTACAGCATTATGCTTTTAACCTGCTGTCAGCCCAGAAGGAAAGATGAATCTGTTTTCTTTGGATTATCTGAGGTGCCACTACCTGGCAAACCAGAAGTGTCTTCCATTTATGCACACTAAAGTGAGCACTAAGCAGGGCATGTCTTTATTAGCTCTGGGTAAGAGCTTTCCTATTCTTGTGTTAGCAAAGGCTAGGATTTATTACAACATAGTGTGGGAAGAAATTAGTCATCCATGATGTGGAGTAGGATATTTTCTCTTTCACATGGTTTCTCTGTGTCTGCCTTGTAAGCCACCAGCACTTTCCTCTGTTTTAGATGGTGCATTTGCATTTTCAGTTTGTACATTTCCCTTTCTGGTTTTGCTCTTCATTGGCAAATAAGAGGGGAATAGATACGAGAATTAAGGGGAAAGGTGGTGAGCACACCCAAAGCCACAGCAGAATGGTTTGGGGAGAAGTGATATCTTTAGATACTGCTACGGCATCTGGATACTTGGGAGCTACGTCCATGTGTGTGAACTAAACATAGAAATGCCAAGGTACTTAGAAGGGGCCCAATTTACAAGTCATGTGTCACTTTTTGCACTGAATGACTGATTTGTATTTGCAGTTAACACCATTTGTGTCTGAGACAGAAAAGTACATGTAGTGTTCTGTTTGCGAGCAGTCAGACTTGGGACTGTAATGTGAAGTATAATGTCGCGTAGTGCTCGCCTAGTCTGATTTATGTCTTTGGAACAGCTTGTTACACACCCGGTGTGGGACTGGGTGATGGGAGTAAAGAAACCCCCACCTTTTCATGTGCCCTAACAGCAGATTGCCTGGTCTGCAGAGCTTTGCTGCATCAAAAGTAGATTAAACCTTTATTTAAGAATCACAGGATGGTGATAGTGCTCTTACACAGTAGCTGCTATTAAAATGTCAGCATTGCTGTCAGTCACCACCAAGTACCTGAGTTAGCGCTGTTTCCCTGATACTGAGAATGGAAAATAGACAGGTTGCTGCTTAAAGTGAACTATTGTAAATGAGGAGCACAGATTTAATCCTTTCTGATATGGCTTATTATCCATCTGTAAGATTAAAAATGTATGTTGTATTACTTCAGGGGTTACACTGACCTCTAGATTTCATGCTTCTAGATTTTACTACTTCTTATGTAGCATTATGTTTTTATTCCATATTTTGGCAATATCAAGACTTAGTCATATATTTGAAAGAAAATTTAAAGTTACAGGTAACACGGTAATTGTCCATTTTATGAAAACTTTAGGGCTTTGTCTTGTGAGCATTGTGCAAAATGGCAGATACTGATATCTTAACTAATTATTCAATCAAGGATTTGGCAGGTAAGTCAATGGGAGCGATGTACATTGGACTAGAATTGATCACACTTCATTCCCCATCAATTGGCAGAGCAAATGGTAGCTCAGATGATAAGCTAGGATCATTGCCAGTCATTTCTGGGCTCATGCCTTCCGTTTTTTCTTTCTTTTTTTTCTTCCAAACAAGAACCCCCAGACTATTTGATGAAAGTGAATGTCCTCTGATGTTGGTGAATAAAGCAATGCAGAGTTTTTGTAGCCGCTGAGGGACGTGAGACTATTTCTGGCTCCATAATTGATGCTGCTGCATAGTCCTATAATCACCTAACCTTATTGAATTGTCCCCATGTGAAGATTTGATTTCAAATTTAGTAATCATTATACATCATTTATTTTCACACAGATTACAGGTTCATCTGTAAAGTGACAGAATTTCACCCCAGAGCTCTTTGAATGTTGGGCTCTTCACTTTTACTCTTTTTGGATATGCTTGTGACACTTCCAACTTCGGTGATTTACTAGCAATTAGTAGGCTTCCATGACAGATTTATTGTAGCCTTCCAACGAGTGATGAATCAGGTATGTGGCTATGAAGAAGTGATTCCCTAGGACTTTTATTTAATACAGGCACACAGTTAGATCCTGTGAAGAGCTTTGGTGTCTAAAGCAGGACTTAACCCAATTAAAGCTCCACACCTAAACCTAAGTGTAAAATTGCAGTTTAAAAAAATCTTTGCTTAGCTGCTGTCTAACCCTGAAAGCATGTAAACCAACTCACTGTTTCTTCATTTGAATTTCAAGTGAACTGGATGCCTACACTTCTTTTTCTGCATCTGCCAAAATGCCTGATTCCTGTATAAGGCTGCTCAGGAGCTGGAAATTAGAATTTCTTTCTCCCAGATGCTCTGCCTGTTTCAGCAGACCCATCCTACATTCATACAGCCAGCCATGCCCCTAGAAACGTAGCTGGAAGGGATGGTACCATCTACTCATAGGAGTTGTTTCTTTCTATCACTGTTGGCTACAGGGTAGTTCATGCTTGGTGTGAGGTTTTTGCATGCAGTCCAGTTTCTGAGGTTGTGTTATTTTGTTCCTGTCAAAAAAGGTAACTTACTATTTACCTTTTGGGATAGGGATTGATTCCTTTGGAAACAGTGAATATTCAAAAATAATCTAGTTGTGACAAGACCAAATGTTTTTGCATTAACAAGCTTTCTTTTCAAAATATATTGATCTGTTCTTTTTATTTGCTCTCCCAGATGTCTATTGCTCAATACTGATTGAAAAAAAATCTCATTTTTTATGTGAAACCATCCACATGCTAAACAAATACACATTGAACCAAAATAAACTATTTTAATAACTTTTTTTTAATTAAATGCAAATGCAGCATCCATTGCAGTCTGTTAAAGCAAACAAAACCCCCAGTGCGTTTAGCATGTTAAAAAGGAGATTTTTGCTGTGTTCACAATGTTATACAATAATTAAAAAGGAAACCAGCTAAGCCTTCAGAACCTGTCCCCTTCTATAGAATGTAATTCATTTCTGTTTAATTATAATAGTAGGGCTGTAGTGTGATTATTATTTTTCAGTGGTAGAAATCCTGCACTGTTGCAGTTTTTTGTGTTTTGGGAAGCAGAACACATGACAGAAAGGGAAAGATTTGAACCACGCTCAAGCTGTAATTAAACGCTGACACCTCAGTGAAGTTTGGCTGCTTATTTATTTAAATGTGGATTTCCAGGACGGAGGCTCCTCCCGGCTGTACTATGCTAACAGGAGCAACAGTTTCTCCTGGGAGGATGTGTTGATTTCTCCTTGGATGTGCAAATCTGGGAAATAGGCAGGCCTGTCACAGTGCAGACACTGCCATGCTCAAGGTGAAATTCCCACTTCGTTCACACTGGGTTTTAGGATGTCAGGGTGCCAGCTGTCCTCAAGGGCCCTCCCTTGAGAGTGGTGTGGACACTTGTGGTCTCACTGAGCCTGTGACCTGGCAGGCTGTCAGGATTATGCTCTCATGCCATCTCCTGGCAGATTGTCACTGTGTTTGCCTCTCCGCACTGTGTCCTTTCTGCCATACCCTGTCCTCTGGAGATGTATTTGTCGTCACAGCATGCCAGCCCTGTGAGATCAGCGTGGAAGCCAGTGGGGCTGCACAGCAGGGGATTGGAGAGGACAGTGCAGGTACGGGGACACTGCGCAGAGCCCTCCTGGGGGTGCTGCATGCTGTGGGGCTCAGGTGTTACACTTGCGCAGGGTGCTTGCAGTAAGGTGGACACAACTGCTGGGCTTGAAGGGTGTGCCAAGAGTGTGAAACATCAGGCAGCTCCCAAGAACCACAGATACATGTGGGCATGTGGGCAGTAGAAAGGCTGGTACTGCCCTCGCCCTGCCAAGCAGGCAGTGGGGTTTGGGCAGCTGCAGGCAGAGTCTCCTGGCCCATTCTGCTACAGGGTGAAGCAGCCCCTGAGGGCAACCCAAGAACCATGCAGTGAAGACAGGACGAACCACCCAGTCACATCTTTGATCAGTAGAGCGAAGCAGTTACACCTGATGAGTAGCTGGTCTTCCTTGTTTTTAATTCTCTGCTGAAAGATTCCCATACAAAAACTATCAACACTTCGGTGTTTCTCCCCTACAAGAAGAAAATACCCTGCTGTCTCTCTTGAGAGTTGAAATTGTGGCTCTAAAGAGGTCTAGGTTTGTCACAAATGGTGTTGAGGTGGGTGGGCATTATTTGGGGCAGTAAAGCTGGAAAGATGGCCTACATGTCCAGTGCAGAAAAACTATTTTAGAGTATGCCTGTTGCTCTGAAGAAACTGTTTGACAGAAGTTCGTTCACATGAAAAAAAAATCCTGAGCTGCAGCCAGGCGTGGTAGAGAGACCTGAAAGCAAGTGTTGGTTACAGAACTTAAAATTTCCTGCTGGCAAGTATCAGTTAGATGTCAAGGCATTCAGTAGTGGTGATTTGAAACAATGAAAGATTAAGAGATACTTTGAAAAACCTCTGTAACCTAGTACTTCTTGGTGATGCTGCCATATTCTCCTTTTCATTCTTCCATGACCACCACCACCATCACCCATCTTCTCATAGCATTTTGGCATGAATTTTAGGTACATTCAGTGTCACTAAAGAAAGCAATGCCATCTATCCATCTTTTTCTTTTTTCTGCCTTGTTTTTACTTTTCTTTGCCTCCTATTCCCATTGTGAAATGCATCCAAGGAGTGATCCAGTGAAACATACTCCCCCCGCAACCCAGGAAGAAGTGAGCAGGAATTGTTTAATGTCACTACCAGGTAAAATGCACTTCAAATGACACACACATCACATGCAAGGAGTACAATTTAGGACTAGTAATGTAAAATAAAAAGATAAAGTGTGTAAAGCACCCACAAATCTCCTGGGACTCTGGTACTCTGAATTTCACCTCTTTGCAGGAAGGTTTCATTTCTGCTGCTGCTCACTAAAAGATGATTTTCTTTTTTCCTGATTTCTGTGGTATCTGTTCTTAAATCTCTTGCATCCTCTCTATGGCACACCCTTCTACACTTCAAATTCCTTGACCAAATGCATTGAGCAACTGTGGATTTCAGTTACATCATTTCCCCTGTTACAGATAAGCTACCTCTTTAAGCAAGGAATATTACTGAAGAGTGTTAACCAAGTGCCTGGGAATCATACTTCACTCAAATCAGTTGACGGTAAAACATAAATAAAAGCATTTATGTGCCCCAGCCACAAGAGATGGCATAGTTATAAACATCTGTGAAATACATAGATACGGAAATAGACTTAACGCGCTTCTAGCAAGGTCAGCCTCTCTCTCCCTGTAATTAGCTGACTTGCTCTCAGCTCTTTCTTGGCTCAGTTTTTCAAGGACTCCCTCTTCTCATTTGCCCTGCAGCTCAGGGTACCTTCCTCTGAGAGAGACCTTTCTCTCCAGCCAGCTTTTGTCTCTGGTTCCTCTAGAGATTCCAGGTAACCCCATCCTTTTCACCCAAACTTATTTACCCCTAACTTATATAGAAGACAGTTTTGATGTTCTGCTATAAATTCAAGAGCATCTCTTTGGAGAAACAATGCCATGTTGGCAGACAGGGTGCCATCTCTTGTACTTGATTGTCTAATTAACCCTCGGTAGTAGGTGCATTTCAGTGCTAAATGTTTCCATCCACTGAATGTTTAATTTCATATTAACCTGCGCACTGACAAATAGACTCGATACAAACATCCTGATTGGATAAATGTGTTCATTTGTTTATTTTTTTTCTCCTGATCAGTACTGTGATAATAGTAAACAATTGGAGAGACAAGTTTGGAATGCTTGAGACCCTTTAAACCCCCCTCCCCTGAATTCAAAGGATTACTTTTCCAATTTAGTTGTAGTCCGAAACTAGTTAAAATTATAGTGATGCATAGTTGCAGATACAGATACAGATTTTTAAATATCTGTCTTCAAAATGTTTTCTTTTCATCTTGTTTTAGTCCAAAACTGAACATACTAATATTTTAGCCCAAAACACACTCCTTTTTTCTTCTGTACCTGTGTGCAGGGGCAAAATTCCCAGTAACTTTCCACATCTTGTACCTATTGAATGAAATGAATGTTTTGACCAATTTTGCTGCCAGTACCTGATTCCCGCATCTATCTGTCTTTAGTATCAATATGCCAGTGATTATGGAGGCTACCTTGGGATCCTGCTGTAGAGGTGGTACAACTTTGTGCGTTTTTGAACCTGGTACATCCTCAGAAAAACATTTTAAACTCAGATTTTTTTTTTTAATCTGCTTTCATTCCCTAATTTCCGATGTGCTTTTAACTCAGAGGGACAGAAGTAAAAGTGTACAGAGCAGTCTGGGTTAATATAAAATAAGCTGATGAAGATTACATGGAGCTAGCCACATGAAAATCAAAAGGCCTTAGAGAACACTGTGAGGCTGAACATTTTTGACAGTGTTTGAAACAAAGACCTTTTTGAACAAAGATCTTTGAAAGGAATGAGGAGCCTTATTTTTTA